AGTTGTTCAGTAGCCTGTTGCTTAGTCTCCACATATTTGTGACTTTCCCAGCTTTTTTCTTGTAGTTGATTTCTAGTTTCATAGCATTGTGGTCAGAAAAGATGCTTGATATGATTTCAGTCTTCTTAAATTTATTGAGGCTTGCTTTGTTTCCCAACATATGGTCTATCTTTGAGAATGTTGCATGTGCACTTGAGAAGAATATGTATCCTGCCGTTTTTGGATGGAATGTTCTATATATATCTATTAAGTCCATCTGGTCTAGTCTTTCATTTAAGGCCACTGTTTCTTTGTTGACTTTCTGTGTGGATCGTCTATCCATTGATGTAAGTGGGGTGTTAAGGTCCCTACTACTATTGTGTTGCTGTCAATTTCTCTCTTTAGGTCTGTTAATATTTGCTTTATATACTTTAGTGCTCCTGTGTTCGGTGCATATAATAATAAGTGTTATGTCTTCTTGGTAGAATGTCCCTTTTGCATTATATAATGTCCATCTTTGTCTCTCATCTTTTTTATCTTGAAGTCTGCTTTGTCTTATATAAGTATGACTACACCTGCTCTCTTTTGCTTGCCATTTGCCTGGAGTGTCTTCTTCCATCCCTTCACTCTGAGCCTAAGTTTGTCTTTAGAGCTGAGATGTGTTTCCTGGAGGCAGGATATTGTTGAGTCTTGTTTTTTAATCCGTTCAGCCACTCTGTGTCCTTTAATTGGAGAATTAAATCTGTTTTCATTTAGAGTGGTTATTGATATATGAGGGCTTAACACTGCCATTTTATCTTTTGTTTTCTGGTTGTTCTAGATTTCCATTGTTTCTTTTCCCTTGTATTTCTGCCTGCCATTTCAGCTTGGTGGTTTTCTCAGTTTTCTTTTTATGTATGATTTGTGACTCTGCTCTGATTTTTTGTTTTGTGGTTACTATGAGGTTTGTATAAAAGATCTCATAGATGAGATAGTCCTTTTTCTGATGTTCCATCCCTTTCCTCTTCCCCTTCTGAGTTAATGTTGTCACAAATTATTCTTTTTTATGTTGTGTTTGTGACCAAATAGAAGTGGTCATAGTTATTTTTGATGTTTTCTTTCTCTTTATCCATTATTTTATAATTAAATATTTGCTAACTTATTCTGATAGAGAGCTACCATTTTCTGGTTTTGTCTCTTTGTTTATCTCCTTGCTCCAGGATTTGTAAACCTTTGCCTTTTTCTTTCAGGTAGGAGGGCTCCCTTCATCATATCTTATAAGGCAGGTCTAGTGGCAGTGAACTCCTTCAGCTTTTGTTTGTCTGGGAAAGCTTTTATTTCTCTGTCATATGTGAAGGGTAGTTTTGCTGGGTAGAGTATTCTTGGTTGATAGTTTTTGTCTTTCAGTATTTTGAATATATCATTCTCTTTCTGTTGAGAAATCTGCTGAAAGCCTGATGGGGGTTCCTTTGTAGGTTCTTTTCTTCTCTCTTGCTGCCCTTAATATTTTTTCTTTGTCATTGACTTTTGACAGTTTTAATATTATATGCCTTGGAGAAGGTCTTTTTACACTTATGTATAGAAGTTCTGTTAGCTTCATGTACTTGTATGTCCAGTTCCTTCCCCAGGTTTGGAAAGTTCTCAGCTATTATGTCTTTGAATAAACTCTCTGCTTCTTTCTCCCTCTGGGATACCTATATAATCCTTATGTTACTTTCCCTCATTGATTGGGTATTTCTCAAAGAATTTCTTCATTTTTTTTTAAATCTTAGTTCTCTCTCCTCTCCCACCTGGATCATTTCTAGATTTCTGTTTTCCAGCTCACTGATTCTCTTCTCCATAAGGTCTGCTCTATTTTTTATGCTTTCTACATTATTTTTTATCTCATTAATTGTGTTCTTCATGTCCAGAATTTCTGTTTGGTTTTTTTTTTAGAGCTTCAGTCTCTTTGGTGAGGTATTCCTTATGTTCATGAATTTTATTCCTGAGCTCATTGAACTGTCTTTCTGAGTTTTCTTGTAACTCGTTGAGTTTCTTTATGACAACTATTTTAAATTCTCTGTCAGTCAGATTGTAATCTTCTGTGACTTCAAGTTTGGTTTCGGGAGAGCTGTCATTCTCCTTTTGTTCTGCTGTGTTACTGTAGTTCTTCATGATAGTGAATGAATTGATGCTCTGGTGGTGCATTTGTGATAGTAACCACCTTTCTTATTTGGGCATGGCCTTGGTTACTTTGGTTGTGTATGAGAGCCTACACTTTCCTAATTCCACTGCCTCTGGAAGCGGCGTCATTAGTGCCCTCTTTGTGCCGCTTGTGCCTCTGAGGTTGCTGGTGCCTTGCTGCTTATGATGTCACTGCAGTCTCGAGTGTCACCACTAGGGTCACCAGACTGTGAGCACTTCTGCTGCTTCTGGGGTGGCCTGGGTCTCCTGTTCCCCCACTTGCTCTCCACGGGCTCAGGTGCTGCTGCCCTGTGCACCACCTGCACTGCTGCTCCTTAGCTTATCTGGGGTTGCTGGCAGCACTGCTGCCAGGGGCTCTGGGTTCCCAGGTGTTGCTGTTGCTGTCGGGGGCCTGGGTTCTTATATGCAGCCCTTGCTGCTGATAGAGCCGGTATTAGGGGTGCTTGCCACTGGGGCTGGGTCTCAGATTCTGCTGTGGTTCCTGAAGCCTCAGCTTGCAGGTGTTACCTGCCACTGCTGGGGGGGGAATGGGGGTTAAGCCACAAGTGTTCATGTTGACCGTGCAGTCTATGGTCACTGGAGCCCACCAAAGTACTTTTGGAGACCTCATGTCAGGGCACCCTGCTCTTGCTGGTGAAATCTGCATTTTGGTTGCTGTCCCCGCTGCTGGAGAGTCCAGTGCCACTGCCGGGGGTGGGGGAGCTGAGTCACTGGCACCAGTTTGTGTCCTGAAGCCTCAGGACGTGTGTGCCACCCACCACCACTGAGTGGGGGGCAGGGGCCACAACCTCTGGTTGTCGGTGCTGGTGCTGTGCTGGTAGCCTGCTCTAAAACCTCGGGTCAGGGCACCCTGCCCCTGCAGAGGAAATTTACGCCTTGGATATGTCCCCACTGCTGGAAAGACTGGCACCACTGCTCAGGGAGGGAGAGGGGTCCGGGTTGCCAGCTCTGCCCTGTGTCCTAAAGCCTCAAGACGTGTGCCACCCACCACCACTGGGAGGAGCAGGGGCCACAGCTTCTGGTTGCCGGTGCTGGCATGCACGTGCTGATGATCTGCTCTGAAATCTCAGATCAGGGGATCCCACCCCTCATGGGGAAATTCACACCTTGAATGTAGTCCCCACTTCTGGAAAGACCAGCGCCACTGCTGGGGAAGTGGGAGGGGGCTGGGTGGCCAGCTCTGCTCTGTGTCCTGAAGCCTCAGGACACGTGCACCACCCACCACCGCTGGGGTGTGGGAGGGAGGGGCCAAGCCTGAGTGCCTGTTTGCCCTTGCAGCCTGTGGTCACTGGCGTGTGCACTGGCATGGGGATCCGTGTTTTGGTCACCGCCACTGTGGGAGAGGGTGGGGGCTGCTCCCCTAGTTCCACTGCCTCCTGGGAGTCCAGTCCACTCACCTTCAGCTGTGTAGATGCATGGATCACTCAGACGTTCTGGTGTGCTGTGCAGGGAGTCCTTTGTTGGCCACTGGCTGTCTGACTGGTTGTAGCTTAGAGGGGAGAGACAAAGGGAACAACTCACTCTGCCATGATGCTGACGTTACTCCACATGCGGAGTAACGGAGGTACACAGTTGGTACACAGAGACCTTCATCAGGGTTGGTAAGTTCAAACACCTGCAGGAGTCAGTCAGGGGATTATAAATCATAAAGTGGGCAGAAGATAAAACAGGAGGTGTAGAGCAGCTTGTATTTTGACCAGCCTTAACCTTTCTCTTTCAGTATTCTGCGAAGGGCCAAATAAAACACACTGACAGGCAGAGGCAGTCGCCCATTTGCAACCTCAGCTTTAGATCTTTGATAGTTACTTGAGGTACTTCTGTTGTGGCACTTCGCTACTTTGGAGACCTTGGAGTTTACTCTGAGGCTCATAGAAGCAGTTTCCTACGTTGTCATTTCAGTGTATTCTGAAGACCAGGGTTTAGGTGCTTCATAATAAGGCAGGAATACTTTGCTTATTTGAAGGCCGCTTATCTGGAACATAGCCAGGCTTAAGAAAAAACTGCAAAAGGCCGTTGAGAAACTGCCACAAATGTTACAAAATCCATGCCTAATATGTTTACTGGAAGAATCCTCTAGGTCCTCATCTATTTCCTTATACTTTCCATTTTGTAGATGCTCATAAAGAGCATATAATTTCACTAATTGAAGTGCCCTTAGAGACCAGCTAGTTGAGTCTCTTTCCTTGTATGGATAGTTAGGGAACTCTTCCATGGTTACAGTGGTGGGTCTCTTTATTTCTGACACTGGTAGTTAAAATGACAAGTGCTCCTTTAGTGAATATACTTCAATTATCTAAAAGTGGAGTGGGAAAACTATGAAGGACCAGATAATAAATATTTCAGACTTTGTGGGCTACATGTGGTCTTTATAGCATATTCTTCATAAAAAATATGAAAATCATTCTTACCTGGGAGTCATACAAACACAGGCTGCTGGTCAGGTTTGACCCACAGTCTGTAGTTTGTTAACCCCTATCTAGAACATGGCTGTCTCCTAGAATTTTCTGTGTTGTAGCTACTCAGTACTTGAAATGTGACTAGTGTAACTGAGGAAAAGAATTTTTAAATTTATTTAGTTTTATTTCATTTAAATTTAAATAGTCACATATGTCTAGTGGCTGTCATATTGGACAGTGCAGATATAGGAAATTCACTATGGAACGAATAAAGCCTTATCATGCTGTAAATTTTTTGGATTACTTCATTTATATTCCTATTTAACCATCTCTTAATAGGGAGTTTTCAGCTTGGGCTTTTCATTTTCCCCTTCCCCAGCTTACTCTATTTGCATAATAAAATTTGGGGGAAAGATTTTCCAGAACAGCTTCCTGTTCTGACCATACTTTCTCTCATTTCAGTGAGGCTGAACTGGAGGAGGTGCTGACTTTTTATACCCAAAAAAACAAGTCTGCAAGTGTCTTCCTGGGGACTCACTCAAAAAGCTCTAAAAACAGCAACAGCTATTCTGATAGCAGGGCAAAGGGTGGTAAGTATGTTGGTTAATTAATGGAAAATAAGAAGAACAAGTGAAAAAATGAGATATATAAAGGAGAGCCAAGAATAATGTTCTGCTTAAGCACTAATAGACTCCATGGTGGTGACATTTTGCAGTGTGGGGGTGGGAGATGAGGAAGCATTACATTTTTGTCCTAAAAGCAGAAGAGGGACATGGTCTGATTTTTTTTCATGGTAATTAACAGCAGAGAGTTTTTTGAGACAAGCTAACGATAAGCTAACATTTAGTGAGCTGCTCGTATTACTATCTGCTAGACATGATATTATTTTTTTACTTCCAAAAACCATATGGAGTAGGTACTATTATAAAACTTCTTACAGACGAGAAGACAGAAGCTGAAAGAGACTGAGTAACTTGCTCGAGGGTACCCTTCAGCATGCAGTGGGACAGGAATTTGAACTTTAGTTGGCATGACTCAAAGCTTGTGCTCTTAATCTCTGCTCTTCTGCTTCTCCTAATGATTATTTCTCACTTGTTAAATTTTTTGCTTCTTCTAGCTCATCGCCATTGGCATTTAGGGTAGAAGAATTCTTTATTGTGTGGGACTGTTCCCTACCTGGTGGGATATTTAATATTCTTAGTCCCAAGCCCAAAATGCCATTAGATTCCTGCAGTCATTGTGATAACCTAGTGTCCCCGTGCATTTCTAAAAGTTCTCACTGCTGGGAAACTCCATGATTGGGTATTTTGGAATTGATGTGGACCAGACTATCTAGCTCACGTCATATGATCAAAAAATAGCAGTGATACTCTATTATAAACAGAGCTCTGTGCTTTAAATGTAAGATTCATTTAAAATCTAGATGAAAGTGTAAGACATAGGTAATCAATAAACTCATTTTATCAGTGTGCTAAGCACTAGATTCAAAGATGGAGACTTATTCCCTGTTCTTTTTTTTTTTTTTTTTTAATTTTTTTTAATTTATTTATTTTTCCCCTAAAGCCCCAAGCGATAGTTGTAAGTCATAGTTGCACATTCTTCTAGTTGTTGTATGTGGG